GGTCCTGACTTATCTCTGGTTCCTTGACATTCTTCCCTGCTGCCCGTTGCTTAGATGAGAGAACAGGAGCGGCAGGCATCTGGAGGTGGGGAGATGTTCTTCATGCGCACCCCCCAGGACCTCACTGGCAAGGATGGGGACCTCATCCTGGCAGAGTACAGTGAGGAGAATGCTCCCCTGATGATGCAGGTGGGGATGGCAACCAAGATCAAGAACTACTACAAACGGGTGAGTCGAATGCTTCTGCTTGGTCTCTGGGCTTGAGCTTCAGCAGCCTGAGGTTGGCTTCTAACTCATTTTGTCTTGCTCCTAACAGAAGCCAGGCAAGGATCCTGGGGCCCCAGACTGTAAATATGGGGAGACCGTGTATTGCCATACCTCTCCCTTTTTAGGCTCTCTCCACCCAGGCCAGCTGCTTCAGGTGAGATACCACCTGCCTTTTCCTTTAAGGACTTGGGGTTGTGCTTGGGTGTCCTTTGGGGCATTCCCAGTGCAAACCAGGAGAGGCAAAGATGTTCAAGAGGGGTGTGGGGGACTGCAATGGTGAATGTGCTTATTCTGCTCAAATTAAATTACCTGTACTGCCCAGTTGCCCAAAGAGCTACTTCGTGCTACACTTCCATGTAGGAAATAATGCGGAGAATCCCGATACTTGTGCTTCTGTGCCTGTTGGGAGTTCTGTAATGTATGAAAAAATAATTTGAACTCTGCTTTCTGGCCTTTTCTCCCTCCTTGCCGTCCTAGAGAATTGTAGTGAGGTGGAGAAGCAGTACTGTGCTTTCCTTTGCAGAAGTCCCAGAGGGACAGATGCGCTAAGATCAGAGCACTTGGTTTGGCACTGGTAGACCATTTCGAGCTGTGGTCAGAATGCAGCAGAAAGCACCATGATGAATTGGGAGTAACTGTTGGCATCCAACAGTTTCTCCATCAGTAGTGGAAGGAAGGTGTCCTGAAGAATGGATTAATCCTCCCATTTGATCTGAGTTGCCAGGATTACACAGATTAGCTAGCAGGAGATCCTTTGCAAGGGGAGGGAAACCCCTCCCAGTTCTAATCGTGCCTTCCCAGAGCTCTTATTCACAGATTCATTGTTGTTTTGATTGGAGGGAAGATGAATAGCTCGGAACCAGAGTTTAAATACTTGAAGGGCTTCTGCCTACTCTTCTTTCTGGTTGCCTTGCCTCATTTGCTCTGTGGGTTTAATGTTGTGGTTTCTATTGTCAAAAAGGGAAGGGAATTCTAAGGCACTACAACAACAAAAATGGACCTCTTTAGCATTGAAAGTCTCGGCCTTTTGCTTGTTAATGGTGGCTTTGATTAACATGGCCTCTTCTCTCATCTCAGGCATTTGAAAACAATCTCTTCAGGGCACCAATCTATCTGCACAAGATGCCTGAAACAGACTTCCTAATTATCCGGACACGGCAAGGATACTACATCCGGGAGCTGGTGGATATCTTTGTGGTTGGCCAGGAGTGCTGTCTCTTTGAAGTTCCTGGTCCCAACTCCAAACGAGCCAATACTCATATTCGAGACTTCTTTTTTTTGGGGGGGGGGGGGATTACACAAGCTGCAGTTATCCTGAGATCAGGTTACTCTTCCCAGTCACTGCACAGGCAGGGCTCGTCAAGCTAGATGGATGCCCACTGACCAGTTCTGATCTCTTTTCAAGCTTCTGCTGTTTGTTCATACAGAGGTGCTCTTTACATCTCTGTCTTTCCTAGCCAGGGTGGGAAAAGAGCCATGCTAGCTGGATTGCCTTCATCACATACTAGAAGTAACTTTGCCTCTGACATGCAGGTCTGAGGACAGGCTGGTAAAAGAGTTTTGTGTTAATTTGCTGGACGAGCTAGTGTGTTTGAGATTCAAAGGGATTTTCCCTCTCCTCCCACAAGCTGAATCTGGCTTTCAGGTTCAGAGTACTTGCCCAGCTCTTCAGTTGTGTAGCATGGCTCACTTTCTTCAGGCTAAAAGTAAAGGTAAAGGTTCCCTTGCTCGAAAGCCAGTCGAATCTGACTCTAGGGTTGCGGTGCTCATCTCCGTTTCAAAGCCGAAGAGCCAGCGCTGTCCAAAGACGTTTCCGTGGTCATGTGGCCGGCATGACTAAACACCAAGGTGCACGGAACGCTGTTACCTTCCCACCGAAGTGGTACCTATTTATCTACTTGCAATTTCTTGCTTTCGAACTACTAGGTTGGCAGGATTCTTCAGGCTACTGGACTGATATTTACTGAACTGTTCCTTGAGTTGGGAAGGCACAGAAAAGGCACGGGGGAGTCTGCCTTAGAGCCGGGCTAGTCCCACCCAGCTTCATGACTGTAGTGTGTTTGCATCTCAGCCGTTCATTTTGGCTTCCCTATTAGGTCTTCATCTATCGCTTGTTCTGGAAGAGCAGGGACCGACCCCGGAGGATTCGCATGGAGGACATCAAGAAAGCCTTTCCGTCCCACTCAGAGAGCAGTATTCGGAAGCGGCTGAAGCTCTGTGCAGACTTCAAGCGCACAGGTAGGCAGGAGCTCAGTATGGTGAGCCAAGGCACAGGGTCCGCTGAGGAGACCATCATCTTCCTTGCCTCCAGGAAATTGGCTCAGTATGGTGAGCCAAGGCACAGGGTTCGCTGAGGAGACCATCATCTTCCTCCAGGAAATAGCTTGTACTTACATTTCAGTTTTTACCTGTACAGTGCATGAAAAGTGACACCCTCCTTTTCCACTTGCATGTGTTTTAAAGGAAAAAAAGCCACAGCTGATACATGTGTGCATCCTGCCACAATGTGTGCTCTATCAAGGTACAAAAAAATCTTGTAAGAAACGGCCCTCGGTGTGAGAGAGAATGGTTTCAAAACAGTTGAACCTCTCATGCTGTTGAAAGCCAGTGTAATGGAAATGGCTTTGAAAGAGAAATGGTCAACGAAGCCACACACAGTGTCGTGCATCACATTAAGTCTCCAGAAGTTTTTTGGGGGGGGAATTCACTACCGGGTCAATAAAGAAGGGTGATCTTTTAAAAAGGTTTTAGGATAACTAATCTTTATTAATGAGCGTTTGTGTGTCTCCTTGGAATCACTCATTCACTTCAGCTGTGTCTACTACTGGAGGACTGCCTGTTGTTTGCTCCTCCTGTGACTAGGAGGGAGGGAGGGAATGTTTGCTGGCATTGCTAGAGCGGCTCAGTGGAGGCTGCTGCTTGTTTCAGGAATGGATTCCAACTGGTGGGTCCTGAAGCCAGATTTCCGATTGCCGACTGAAGAGGAGATTCGAGCGATGGTGTCACCGGAGCAGTGTTGTGCCTATTATAGCATGATCTCAGCAGAGCAGCGCTTGAAGGTGAGCTTGTGTGGTTCACCAACTTCCCTGGTCTTACCAGTCACCATAGTGCTGTGAAAGATGCTTAAAAACCACAAGGCTGGCTCAGTCCTGCAGTCCCAACAGCAGGAGGATTTATGGTGATGATAGACTACCAATCATGATCACTTCTCCAGGTAAGCCTGGCTCTTAACAGGCATAGTTAGAGGTGCCTTGTCAGCCAGGCTGTAGCCAATCCTTCACCATGGAGCACTAACAAAGGTCCTGCTCCTTGCAAACCTTGGCCATAGAATAAGAATGTTCTGTTTTTTCCAGTCTTTGCAAGGTTCCAGTAGCATCAGAGCCTTACTTCCAGGGACATGGTGTTTTCGCTAGAATGCTTAACATTAAAATTACTAGAAATGAATACACAAGTTGGGTGGAGTTTCTCTTCAGGCCAAGGTGCTTTGTGTTAAAGTGGAATGAAGAGGGCAGGCAGACTTTAGGTTGTGTGTGCTTCAAGGTTCAGTGAACAGAAAGGTTGGGTGGAGGACAGTCTCCCTCTTCTCTTTGCAGTGCTCTAGGTTGGTAGTTCTCAGCCGAGCTGGCACACATTTGGCATCTGATTTGACTTGCATAGCACAGAGCAATCTCTGGCTTAGGAAAAACAGCTTCATAAAAAAGGAGCTGAGTAGGCTCTGTGGAAGACAGCTGTGAGCAGCTTTGGGGTTACTGTCCTCCAACACAAGGGTGATGCTGACAACAGCAAGTGGAATGTTTCAGTATCTGAATGGACTGATGGGCAGAAGTCTCTTCCTGAGCGAAAGGCCTGATGGACGCTCTTTTGTATATAAATCCTGTGTGAGCTAAGCTGTTCCAGGTCATCTTGAGCTGACTGAGCTAGTGTTGAGTGACTTAGCAAATCGCTTTTTTGTCTGTTGTTCTGCAGGATGCAGGCTATGGGGAGAAATCCTTTTTTGCTCCCGAAGAAGAAAATGAGGAAGATTTCCAGATGAAGATCGATGATGAGGTAGAGGCCAAACCATGCAGGGTGATGGTTTGATTTAGGACTTGTCAGTAAATGGGCAAGACCAGTGTGTCAGATGGTGAAGAACCTCCCACTGACACATTGTGGCTTTCTCTTCTCCTCCTCCTCTTTAGGTGCGCACAGCCCCTTGGAACACCACTCGGGCCTTCATAGCAGCAATGAAGGGTAAATGTCTCCTGGAAGTGACTGGAGTGGCAGATCCCACTGGTTGTGGAGAAGGATTCTCCTATGTAAAGATCCCCAACAAGCCAACACAACAGAAGGTAGGCGAGTGATCCAGGTTGAGAACTGAGAAAGAGGGCCTGGTCAGCAGCACTTGCTGAGCAATTACTTAAGGGTGTGCTGCTTATTGATAGGCAAAGGAGGAGAGGGGCTGTAGCTCAGTGGTACAGCATCTGCTTGGCATGTAGAAGGTCCCAGGCTCAGTCCCAGGCAGCACCAGTGGAAAAGCTCAAGCGATGTGAAAGACCTCTGCGTGAGGCCTAGGAGAGCAGTTGCCAGTCTGAGTAGACATTATTGACTTTGATGGACCAATTATCTTATTTCAGTAGAAGGTACCTTAGTGGGCATTAAGGAAAAGAGGAGTCTTTCGACCTCACCTCACAAGTACCCCCTCACGGGGGTCCACTTGTGTGGCCAAAGGGCCAGAGTTTCTCACTGAGGATCTTCACGTGGGCCCAGAGATGGAAAAGTGTTGCTCTTCTTCAAGCAGGATGACAAGGAGCCACAACCCGTTAAGAAGACGGTGACCGGAACGGATGCTGATCTCCGGCGCCTGTCTCTCAAAAATGCAAAACAGCTTCTTCGCAAGTTTGGAGTACCTGAAGAGGAGGTGAGAGTGGACAGAAGCTGTCTTAGACCCACCCTTCTGCTAAAGCAATGTTAGCAGCATTTTGCAGTCAGCAAATTTCTCATTCCTTAGATTAAGAAACTTTCCCGCTGGGAGGTGATTGATGTTGTCCGCACGATGTCCACAGAACAGGCTCGCTCAGGTGAGGGGCCTATGAGCAAATTTGCCCGTGGGTCTCGCTTCTCTGTGGCAGAACACCAGGAGAGGTACAAAGAAGAGTGCCAGCGCATCTTTGACTTGCAAAACAAGTGAGTTCTGATCTTTAAGTTCCTGATCCTTCTAGCCACAATGTTTGGGTTTTGTAACCCGTGAATGGCTCCATAGACCTAGGGGACACCTTCCTGTTTGTCCAGTATTGGTCACTCACCAACCATGACCACTTTCTGCCACTCAGGGTGTGTTGGAAGATCACTTTGATACCTTCTCCATAGCTGTACAATTTATAGAATCATCGAGTTGGGAGGTACCTCCAGGGTCATCTAGTCCAACCCCCTGTACAATGCAGGAAATTCACGAACACTTCCCCCTCCACACCTGCAATTACCGCTCCCACTCCCACTGAAGACCTTTGGAAGTCCAAATGTGGATGTATTTTCTAGAAGCTATTTAAGATGTTTTAGGTAATAGGAAAAAGCAAATGCTAGAATATGGTAGGGAAGTAGATGATGGGATTGTTTTTATCATGTATATGCATTCTTGTTTTGGTTTTAAATAACTTGCACTGAACCCAGGGAAGCTTAGGAAAAGCTGCATTAATGATCCTACAGTAAGGGGACCTTTGGAGGCACCTGGATCAGGGTGGATTGGTAGTGTTGCTGTTGGACCTGTCAGCGGCATTTGACACGGTCAACCACCAACTACTGATCCACCACCTCGCCCATGTTGGGATTCAGGGTCTGCCTTGCAGTGGCTCTCCTCATTCCTACAAGGTTGGTGACAAAGGGTGGCACTAGGGGAACAGCTGTCCCAAAGGCACCCGCTAGTCTGTGGAGTGCCACAAGGGGCGGTACTTTCCCAGATGCTCTTTAACATCTATATGCGCCCTCTTGCCCAGATTGCCCAGAGGCATGGATTGGGTTGTCACCAATATGCAGATGACACCCAGCTCTAGCTGTTGTTGGGCGGCCAGTCAGACTCTAACCCGGGAGATCTGGACCTGGCGTTGCAGGCCGTGGTTGGCTGGCTTAGACTGAGCTGACTGAAATTGAATATGACGAAGACGGAGGTCCTGTGCCTAAGTTGGGGCGAGCCAGGGTTAGGGATTCCACTCCCATCCTTTGATGGGGCACCACTCATGCCAGCGTCGGAGATAAGGAGCATGGGAGTGCTCCTGGATGCTTCTCTAACGATGGAGGCCCAGGTAGCAGCCACTGCTAAGTCAGCCTTTTACCATTTTCGGCTGATAAGGCAGTTGGTTCCCTTCCTCGAACACAATGACTTGGCGGCAGTGATCCATGCTATGGTCACCTCGAGATTAGATTACTGCAACACTCTCTACATGGGGCTGCCCTTGACCCAAATCCGGAAGCTTCAGCTGGTGCAGAATGCAGCGGCCAGACTGTTGATGGGACTCCCCATGCGAGAGCACATCCAGCTTGCACTGAAAGCACTGCACTGGCTACCTATAGCGTACCGAATTCGCTTCAAGGTGCTGGTGCTTATCTTTAAAGCCCTTTATGGTCAGGGACCTACCTACCTACCTGAGGGACCGCCTTTCCCCACATGTTCCCCAGAGAGCACTATGGTCAGGGTTGCAAAATCGTCTGGCCCTAAGGATGCCAGGCTGACATTGACCAGGACCAGGGCTTTTTCTGTGGCAGCTCCAACTGGGTGGAATGAGCTTCCAGAAGAGATCAGGGCTCTGTGGGACCTTTCACAGTTCTGCAGGGCCGCAAAAAGGGAGCTCTTCCGCCAAGCATTTATGTAAGGAGCTGCATTTCACCATCTATGCCCTGTGCCAATATTATTTCCAGCTGGAGCCCGCCGACTGTGGAACTTATCACTGAGTGTATGTGTCCATATGCACTTTATCACAGCTGTACCGCCATTGTTTTTTTCCCCCCTATGAATTTTTTTTATTTAAAAAAATGAAAAATTTACATTAAAATTAACATCAACAATCCCCCGGGTTCCCCTCGCACCCCCCCATAATTAAAAAAAAAGTTCATATAAACTACTTTATAAAACAACAAGGATCTAACTCAATAAATTACTATAACTACACTCCACAGAACAGACTGTAGACCTAACATGAGGCTAATCAGAGATTTATCAAGTCCAGTACCGCCATTGTTATGTAAATTGTTTTTAATAACTATGGTGTGGGTTTTTATATTAACATTTATATTTTATGTTGTTTTATTTATTGTTACCTTGTGTAAGCCGCCCTGAGCCTGCCTCAGCAGGGAGGGCGGGGTAAAAATCAAATAAATAAATAAATAAATGATCAGGAAGGTTTGCTTACTTAAAATACATATTCCCTATTTTTCTCTTCCAAATGAGACTATTGGCCCTAGGTCAAAAAGAGTGAGGGATACCAAACTAGCAAGGGTGTTCTGTTTCTCAAAGAGACAAAAGTTTGAGGTGTTTATGCGAGTCAGTTGCAGGGGAGCCCAAAGGCTCCATGTAAGTCCTTGAACACTGGCTTGGTGCTTGCCTGTTCATCCTTTCATTCTGAAGTTTATGGCCTAATGCCTTTGTACTGTGAACTAACCAACTGATTTGCAACCATCCCTGTTTCAGGGTTCTGGAATCAACTGAGATCTTATCCACTGACACGGACAGCAGCTCTGCCGAGGATAGTGACTTTGAGGAGATGGGGAAGAATATAGAAAACATGCTTCAGAACAAGAAAACCAGCTCCCAACTGTCCCGTGAGAGGGAGGAGCAAGAGAGGAAGGAGCTGCAGAGGATGCTTCTTGGGGAAGACAGTGGCAACGACAAGGAAAGGACCAAGAAAGACAGGCGGGACAAGAAAGGACTGTGTGAGTGTTTAGCTGCCTGGTGAGGGCAGCCAGTGCCAGGGAGGAAGGTGCAGTAGGCCCCAGCTTAAGCTTTTTTAATGGGAATTTCTGGCATCCAGTTCTATATGAATGCTAATTAGTAGTGGATTAATTAGCAAACTGTAAAGGAAGAGGAGTTCCATAAAGTGGAACTTGATAGTAGCAGAAAGGGAAAACTTAGAGAGTAGAATAGAAGTAGCCACAAATACAAGAGGTAAATGAACCAGACACAGACAGCTGAGGGGCTGAGTGACATCTCAAAAAGCTGCCCAGGGGATGTGAGTGAGTGTGGTTCCTCTCGCCTCTTTCAACTGAGGCTCCTGAAAGTCCGGACTGTGCAGTAGAATCCGGGAGACTTGGCCATCTTTGTGCTTTGGTTCTCCACTCAGAAAACACTGCTGTGTTGCCCTTTCAGCCTCTACTCCCAGCAATCTGGGAGGCTCTCATAAAGATGATGACACAGCCTCAGTGACCAGCCTCAACTCCTCCGCCACCGGCCGGCGTCTAAAAATCTACCGCACGTTTCGTGATGAGGATGGGAAGGAATATGTAAGATGCGAGACAGTCCGCAAGCCCTCAGTCATTGATGCATACAGCAGGATACGGACCACGAAAGATGAAGAGTTCATGTAAGGGCTTTGTGGGGTGCTGTATTTCCTTTGCCTGTTAGGAGATGGTGAGTTATTGGTGTGGGACTGTTTCCAGGAGAGGTGAGATGCAGGGAGAGGAAATTGCCTAAGGTCGCGGTCACACGCACCAAAAATAATGGTGGGGAAGCGAGGTGTCATGACTTGGCTTCCCCCGTGAGAGGGCGGGTGCAAGAGGTGGGGAGATCCATAGGGAAAGGGAGGGGTTCATGCTCTACCTCAGATTCCTGGCCGACAGGCATTACCTCATGCTTCCTGGCCGTCGGGCTTAGGTTCTGGGGCCTGATGAGGCCATCCTGACGCCATGAGAGCCTGCTGGAGCAATCAGACAGGGGAAAGTCTGTAGGTGGCCTGTCGCAACCCGTTTTCTACCAGATTTTCACCAGTGTCTTTTAACTCCTCTTTTGTGGCGGAGCAGAACAGGTTGCTGACGGCTGGGGGGCACTTCCCAGGTGATCGCACCCTTTCAATCTGCCAGCATTCGCATCTATGGCAGGTCTAATTGTGCGTATGATCGCAGCCTAAAGACTCCTGCTTTAGCATTGCATGTCCATCTCTGTCCGGAGCTCACATGCTTGGTTGATGGGGCCGGGTAGTTTTCTGTGATTCGTAAGCATTTGCAAATTGCACTTACACAGTAACACCTGAATTGGTTTCATTCTTTATTGGAATGGATTAATTCTTGGATTAATTCTTTATTCATTATTGGATTCATTCTTTATTGTGGCTTATCCCTGGAGATTGAATCTTGGCTGGTGAGAAACACTGGCATGCAGGGCCAACTAATGTTAAGTGGATTACTTTGCCGAAGGTAAGCCTTACCTGGCAAGATGAGGAGCTTGCTCATTTTAGTGGCTGGTCTAGAACCAGCTTTAAAAAAACACATGTTTAGTTCTGAGACTGAGAACAGGAAACCATATGAAGCTGGACTGGGACTGGACAGTTAACCATGTGTGGAGATCTTTGTTTTCCAGCCGGAAGTTTGCCCTTTTTGATGAACAGCATCGGGAAGAGATGCGGAAGGAGAGGCGCCGGATCCAGGAGCAGCTCAGGCGGCTCAAACGAAACCAAGAGAAGGAAAAGCTGAAGGGTCCTCCTGAAAAAAAGCCCAAGAAAATGAAGGAACGACCAGATTTGAAGGTAAATAAGCATGTACCAAGTCCAACTAGCTTACTAATGTCTGCTGGCTAGGAACAACTGACCAAGGTCTCAGACAGAGAAAGGTTTTTCCTGCCATCTGAAATCCTTTAACTGGAGAAGATGCTGTCAGAGATTGAACATGGGGCCTTCTGCATGCAGAGCCAATGCTCTGCCACTCAGCCACAGCCCTTCCCCAGAACAGAGGTGAATGGGCATCCAGCCAGCTGGAATATTGATAATTTTGACCTGCAGTTTTTGAAGGGGTTTTTTTGCTCTTGACGTCTCAGAAGCCTGAGGGAACCAAGCCTGTTTTCAGATGGGCAGAGCTTCATGGCTTGACATCTTTCCTTTCCCCTCCCCAAGGAGAAGCAGTATAAATTATGCAAGTAAACAAGCATTCAGGCCTGCTGAATTAGCTTCATTTATAAGGCAGTCACCACAGCCATGATTGTGAGATCATCCTTGCAAAATAACACAAAAATCCAGTGGTTCCTCAAAGGCTAATATTTGTTTCAGTGTGAGCTTCCATATGTCAGAATTTACTTCTTCAGATATATACCAGTGTCATCATGGCCAACAGCAAACAAGTTGTTTGGTGGTTGGCACATGCTGGATGTGTGTCTGTTCATGCAAGTCTTCATTAATGCAGATATAACCTTTATTTTTATGGTCAACATTTGACTAGAAGTACTCATGGCAATGAATGGTTTGTCAGTAAGGCCAGTGCTTTGTATCAAAATATCCCCATTTCTAAATCTGATGTTACTTTTTTGCTAGCATTTGTGCTGCTGTCCCGTCATTTGAGAGCTGTGCTCTTACTTTTCTGGTAGCACCTTTAAGACTAATAAACTTTATTGTCGCAATAAAGTTTGTTATTCTTAAAGGTGATACTGGGCTTTTGCAGCAATAGACTAACAAGGGCTAACTCCTCTGGATCTACTTTTCTGGTGCAAGCTTTGATTCTTTTTTCATTTTGTCTTTTGCTGCAGTTAAAATGTGGTGCTTGTGGTGCCATTGGGCATATGAGAACCAACAAATTCTGCCCTCTTTACTACCAAACCAATGCTCCACCATCCAATCCTGTGGCTATGACAGAGGAGCAGGAAGAGGAGCTGGAGAAGACTGTCATTCCCAATGATAATGAGGAGCTGATCAAAGTGGAAGGGACCAAGATTGTCTTGGGGAAACAGCTGATTGAGAGGTGAGGAGGAGTGCTGTGAGGTGCCATGGGTTTGTGCAGCAGCATCCCACTGACAGGCACTGGACTCCAAACTGGGTTGAAGTCCCATCTCAGCCATGAACCTTTGTCAGGTAGCTTTGGGGCAAATCAGTCTTTCAGCCTTGGTTCCCCATCTGTAAAATGGAAAGAATACTGGCTTCTCATAATGCTGTTGGGATGGTTAGTTCAGTAAGGATCTCTTCAAGGATACCATTTGGTGGTCGGGTTACAGGGATCATGAAGGCAGTACAACTCAGTGTCTTCCAATATAGTCCCATAAAAATGTGTGGTTGCTCCGAAGTTTGCGTTTGACCCAATTTCATCCAGAGCATAGTGGAAACTGTAGTGCTTCTGTCTCTCTCTCTCTCTCCCCCTGCGTGATCACTTAAAGTGCGGATGAAGTTCGCAGGAAGTCCTTGGTTCTGAAGTTTCCAAAGCAGCAGCTTCCGCCAAAGAAGAAACGGCGAGTTGGAACCACTGTTCACTGTGACTACTTAAATGTAAGCCCTTTAGTCATTTATTGCACTTTCCCTTGCTCTCCACCTTGCTGACAACTGTAGGGACTGATTCATTTTTAAACCTCCATCAGGATTGGGGATAATTGCATAGGAGCAAAAGCTGTAAAGAAAATTGGAATCCTCAGACATGGCTTTTCACAAGTATTGATGAGCTCAATGTACAACATGTGTGAACCTTGTGCTGTATGTGTCTTTTCAGCGGCCTCACAAATCCATCCACCGGCGGCGCACGGATCCCATGGTGACACTGTCTTCTGTCCTGGAAGGCATTATCAATGATATGCGAGATCACCCAAATGTAAGAGCTTAGTCCTGTGAGCTTTGGCCATGATGTATATTGGTATATAGAGCCACATGCTGTTCAGATCTCTGAGAGACATTGAGGAATCCTTGATTCTTCTCAGCTAAAGCTAGCTCCCAAAGCTAGCAGTTGGAATTTTGAGGGCAAGATTTCTGTTACGATTTTTTGAAGTGGAAGATGTTATTTGCCTGCCCACTTACCTGAATGAATTCCCAGATTTTCTTTCTTTCCCAGTAATCCTCAAATGGCAGCTGCCAAATGTTCCCATTTACAGATGTTGTTCATGTCTCCTGAAAGTTGAACCCCAGTTTACAGCAGCTAGATCCCAATACTACATTCCCAGAACTAAGTAGAGTTTCATGTCCCACCCTAAACCATGTACTCAAACATTTTACCAGAAATGATAAAGAACTTGCTGTCCTCCAACGGGATTCACCATCTAACTTATGAATAAGATGTGCTAACCGAAATAATATCAATGAATAAAAATGTCAAAGGCTCTTCATATAAATTTACCACATACAGACTGTGTAGTTGAAATGTTCTCTGGGTGATGGCATTAGCATCTTGGCTTTGAAGTCACTGGGGGGGGGAGCAGGCAGGCACCCTCCCACCATGCCTGGCTCCCTCTCCAGTTGAAAGTCCTCTCTCCTTCCTTGTAGCTTCTAGTGAGTGAGGCCAACAGAGGGAGGGAATCAATATTTGCCTGAAGAACAGGATAAAAATACAGTTTAACACTCCTCTCTTCCTCAGACTTACCCCTTCCACCAACCTGTTAATGGGAAGGTTGTCAAAGATTATTACAAGATCATCACAAAACCAATGGACCTGCAGACATTGCGGGAGAATGTCCGCAAACGCCTCTACCCATCCCGTGAGGAGTTCCGAGAACACGTGGAGCTGATTGTGAAGAACAGCGCGACATACAATGGTGTGTGCTTTTGTGATTTTTCTCTCTCTTGTGATGGAGATGACTCACAACAAAACTTTAAAAGTAGTTAAAATCCTCACTTGATATATACCAGCTTTCAAATACTGATAGGGATAGCTGGAATCAGGGGCCTTTGCTTTCTCTGGCTGCACAGAAAAAAGGGGGAGGGGGTGAGGCAGTTGAGGGGAGGGATGGGGGTGACTGGGCTTGTGGGTATGTTAAGGGTTTATTTGTAAGGCTGGCAAATATTAAGGGCATTCTTCTCTCAGTCCTTGTGCCCCTCTAGCACTTGCCCGGCTCTCATTAGGATAGGGTGTCCAGTTGCTTCCTTGATGGCCTTAAGTATTTCTCATCTGCCAGCATCTTCTGCTCTCTTTATTTTCTTCTTTTTGTCTCAATGTGCTGAGAAGCCTTGCATCTCCAGTCTGAAGAGTTTTCAAGCAGCCCTCTTTCTCCTTTTCAACTATGTAGTACCTAGACTGAGCCTTGCCTGGAGAGCCATTCATTCCATTTTCACCTGGTTCTCAATGACTTCCTGGGACACTTGCCCCTCTTTGTTTCTTGCCTTGTTTTTGCTGGGATTAGCTTCAAGTAACTGGTGGGATAGTGTTGCCATAGAAGCTCCACATAAGTGCCTGAACTGCAGGGAGTGTTCTGTTTCAGGTGTGTGAATGTGGAAGAGGATGTGTCTGTCTAGAGTGAACCTTTTGTGGCTGGGAGAAATGTTGATCATATGTTCTGCCTTTCAGCCCGGCAGTGCCTTCAAGGCAGCTCACAGCACTAAACCAATATTCAAGTAGCAAAATATACATTTAAATCTTAACTGCCAACGAAATATAATGATCATGTCCACTGTGGATCCTTATGTTGGAATGCCTGTATCCCACCATGGATATTTCTTTGCAGGGCCAAAGCACTCTCTGACTCAGATCTCTCAGTCGATGCTGGACCTCTGTGATCAAAGGCTGAAAGAGGCAAGTCTTGGGGCCAGCCAGAATATGAAGGGTGATGGAGCAACCCAGCAGTAGGGAGAAGAAGTTTGTAGTTTGGGGGCTTTTCAGTTCAGGATATTTTTAGGGCTGAGCTGAACTTCTGTTTGCTATTTGTAGTTTGCATCTTGTCTTTCAGACATCTGGGCTCCTCCCCAATAGATTTCCAAACAGATTGTGAATATTGTTTTAGTTTAGACCTCCATTGCTTGCTGCATATGGAAGGATGATGGTAATTTTCTGAGGAACAGTGCATATGTGCCTCCAGAAGGACTAGAGGAGAAGGATCCTGGAAGAGCATCAGAAGCGGAGCGTAGTTGATCGCACATTGCATATATTCTCAAAAAAGTAGAATCTAATAATAGGGATCACCAAGCTGAGTTTTAGGATTTTTAAATTATTTCCATAAATAGCAGAACTCGATGGTGGAACATCATTTTGCTTGCAACTTATAACTACAGTGGAAATGGAAACCAATATGTACTGTGCTTCTTCTGAGAGCCAGTGTGGTGTAGTGGTTAAGAGTGGTGGAGTCTAATCTGGAGAGCCGGGTTTGATTTCCCATTCCTCCGCATGAAGCCTGCTGGGTTGACCTTAGGTCAGCCACAATTCTCTCAGAGCTCTCTCAGCCCCACCTACCTCACAGGGTGTCTGTTATGGGGAGGCGATTTTAAGCCACTTTGAGACTCCTTAGGGTAAAGAAAAGAGGGGTATAAAAACCAACTCTTCTTCTTCAAAATAGTAGTACTTTCAAGGCTTATTTTTTTTAAAAAAAAAACTTTTTCAAAAGTTGGGGCTGAAATATAAGTCTACTTTGTTGAGCAATGTATGGCTTATACACACCAGCTAAAACAGCTGGAAAGTTAGACAATAGATGAACATGGTATGGAGAAAGCACATTGGTTGAAATATCACAATTACAGCATGCTGCCCAATGGGAAACAGTTTAAGGGAGTTATTTTAAAATGGCTTCATTTCAGAAGGAAGATAAACTGGCTCGTTTAGAGAAGGCAATTAACCCCCTTCTGGATGATGATGACCAAGTGGCCTTTTCCTTTATTCTGGACAACATTGTCACCCAGAAGATGATGGCTGTTCCTGATGTAAGTGTGTCTGTGGGGTGGAAGGAGTCTATAAGGGGGAGTGTTGCTGTAGCCTTATTCTTGAAGCACCGAATTGTATAACTGAGAGATGCCTCTTTCCTTATTAAGCATCTGGCTCTTGCTGTGACTATCTATTGACTCATTGAGCCCCTTCTTTGGATTTTGCCCAAAGAACTGTCCACATTCTTCTGCAACTCTGCTTAATAATGAGTGCGGTCACACGTGCCAGATAACGCCGGGGGGAAGCGAAGCTATTTGCGCCGTAGTAATTTGACCCGCCACTGTGTGATCAGACGCAGCAGCCAGTGAATCGGGTTTTCTCCTTCGCTGCGTGTTTCCAGCGCTCTGCAACAAGGGATCACTGACGCAATGGGAGCGCGCTGGAGTGATCGCACGGGGAAGTCCGTCAGTGGCCAGTCGCAGTTTGATACTGCACTTTCCCCAGTATTTTTTAACTCCACTTCTTCAGCAGTGCGAAACGGGTTGGTGATGGGTGCGGGACACTTGCCAGACGTTCCTGTGTGATCACACCCATAAAATCCACCTGGCATTCGTACGTATTGTGCAGCTACTTATATGTGTGATCAGAACAAATGTTGATAAATGGCCAGTAGCCTCCATACTGTCTGCTATTTTTGCTCTTATGTTGCTCTCATCTCTACTGGTCTGGTTAGTTTAGCTGATTTTTCTCTATAATTTTGGATTGTATTAATTGCTTTAATTTGGTTTTGTTGGCCATCTTTCAGATGGTGACATTTGCAAGGTGACAGATAACATATTAGTAAAATAATATCCTTGTACTGGAGCTGTCCTAGTCCATTTTAGCTTTTGTTAAGAATGCATAACAGATCCATACACTGGTCACTAGAATTTGCTTGCAGATACTGGCAAGGAATGTTTGTTCTGGCTTCAGCTGAATGTTGTAAAAAAGCATACTGACATCCCCTGGTGGCTTGATCTGGTATACATTCACTCTGAAAGAACTGGTTCTCAGTTACCTTCTTATCTGCTGTCATCTACTTTTCAGTCTTGGCCCTTTCATCATCCCGTTAACAAAAAATTTGTACCAGATTACCACAAAGTCATCATCAGCCCAATGGATCTGGAGACAATTCGCAAGGTGAGTAAGACAAAAGGTGCAGCAATTTTGCTTCATGTGGCATCTCGTAATGCTTTTCAGCTAAAGAAAGGCCTGTGCATGCTTACTGAGCTGAAAAGTTCCAGGAATGAATGCAGATGCATTTAAACCAGGTAAAATACCAAGAGTGGAACTGCCATGTAAAAATTTAACCCAGTGTGCAATAGCTGTACATTTCTAACCTCAGCTCCTGAATTTCACTTTGCTGGCTCTGTTATGGGCCAGAAGCCAGGTTAAAAACTCTATTAAATTAGGAGTGCAATCCTAAGGGCAGCCTGCATTGCAGCAACTGAGTGCTGGTGTAAGCATGGAGCCACTAGTCTGCTCCCTAAAGGGTTGCAGCAGAGACTAGGAGGCAGAAAAAAGACCGAGAAGTGGGGCTGCACAGACTGCAACCACATTAGTGTCCCCAGCAATTTTTGCATCCTGTACAGGTGTGCCAATAGAGTTCTGATGGACAGGGCAGACAGAACCAGTCATGGGCTGGCAATCCAGGGACCCACATCACAGTCAAGGGGCAGGAAGGAGCGGGGCCTTGTCTGCAGCACATCCCCCCCACCCCTGTAAAGGAGCAGAGACCTGCCGAACAGAAACAGGGCGGCTGGCAGAGTTAGCAAGGGCCCCAGCAATCTCCCACTGGTGGTGACCCCAAACAGGTCCACAGCCTGTAATCACCAAGAAGGAGGCCTGAGGAGATGACAAGGAGAGTGCACCCGGCCAGGGACCCTGCAGTCCCCTGCCCCCTCAGCAGTACCTCCTCCACATGTCTGTTGCCAGGGTGACAGGGGGGCCCCTCCCCCAGACCACCCACCAGCCTATCCTCCCTTCACACAGCAGCCAGCGAGGTGAGTAAGGGGGACCAAGGTGTGAGGCCAGCCTTGGAGGTGCTGTGGGACTCCTGCTATGTTGGCAGAGGACCGTGATGGGGGACCAGTGGCACTTGCACAGCCAACCGCAGCCACCCAAGCATGGGCATCCCTGGGTCAGAGCCCTCCCTCTTGTATTGGTCATTGGCCATCCCTAAGGAGGAGTCACAGATAAGGCGGGGAGGGAGTGAGGTGGGAGGGGAGTTGAGCTCCTGTTGTGCAGTTGGAACCAAACAGACAGAGACATGGTTGTGGCACAACCCAGCCTTTACTGAACTGCAAATCTTGGAAAGGTCTGATAACTCAAGTTGCCACCTCTCTGGGGCCATGGAGAGAGAGACTAAGCCTTCCCTGGCATGGCATACATCTAAGTGAGGTGGAGTCACAGGTAGAAGAGCTCTCAGGGTGCAATGCTCCACTCCAGGAGGCAGCATGGGACTGCAGACTGAACAGAATGTGTGTGTTGGGGTGGGGGGAATGCCCAGAGGTCTCCCTGTTGAGTCACCACATGCAGTGATGGCAACTGGGCACAAACACCATGCTGGGCTCAGTCATGGATGTGGTGCCCTGGCAGACTCCATAATCCCAGCTCCATGGGGAGGGACTTTGCCTTGAACCCCCCCCTTGAGGCAGATGATGGTACCATCCAAACTACACTCACCTGTCCTGGTGCTCAGTGACTGCTAAGGATCCATCTACTGCAGCTACGCAAGGGTGTGATCCTACAAGGGAATGAGTGCAATGGTTGCCCAGAAAACTGCTCCACTGAGTAGAGCGGGGCAGCTGCCAGACCTCCTAAACCACCAAAGAGCCATGTCCTCTGCTGGGTGGGGGCGTAACGAGGCAAAAGAATGATCTACAAATGTGGGGCTGAAAACATCCCCCCATCAGTTTGCCTGTGAAACTTTCCTAGGTTCTTTCCCCATTACGTGACAGGGGCCATGGTGCCGGGAGGGTGTGGATAATGCCACCCCTGCATGAACACTGTGTTGGGCTTGATTGCGGGAGGTGGCATTGCTGAGACAGCACCTGGCCTCATGCAAGGGGAATTAGGAAGCAGGTGTGTGTTCCTCATCCTTGCTTACCAATCACTGTGCAGTCACCACTTTGGGTTGAGCCTTAGGAGGCGGGGTAGCTGTTAGGGTTATGCAATGAGACATGTTAGCCACACAGTGTGGACTTTGCTCTCCCCCTTGGGTGTTAGCATTGAGTGCTCGCCCAGTAGTGATAAGTGCTCACTCTGTACTTTTTCCACTACCAAAGCGCCACAGCACTTGCTCTAAGTCCACACAGGGAGCTCTGAAACAGAGTCCTACGTCACATGCTCTACCTAATGAGCTCGTGGGCATCCTGGCCAAGGGTACTATAGGGCTGGGGGGGATGGCGATTGAGTTATGGCGAGGGGATCTGGCTGCCACAGGGGAGGCAGGTGGATTAGTTGTGCCTGTAGTTGCATCCTGTGTTCCTCTGGGCTGTTTGGGCGTGGCCACACCATTGGGGGAGGTCACTTGAGTTTTTGGCTTGCAAGGGCACCTGTGGGCTATGATGTGTCCCCAGAAAGTTATGGCTTGCATACCTTTCTGCTGCTGACAGGGGCAGGGTGTTCTGGGCTGAAACAGCTAAGGGAGCCAACTACTCCCTGCCATGCTCTCCTGGCCTGGCCACTTCCACACTGGTGAAGGAATCTGTTCCACTGGCTGGCTGTTGGGTGGCCGCCACAGGGCTTCAATGGTGGCCAAGAGTGGTGGAGTGGCACTGAAGTACTGTGCCAGCATAATTCTTACTTACGCTGGTGAATCTCTGCTAGTCAGGTCCCTCAGTGCCTCCCTTGGGATTGCACTGTAAGGAATGAACAAGCAAATGCATGCATTGGTTCTGAAAACCACAGTTTGGGTTCTGTTGAACATTTCAGTAGGAATGGTGAGGACTCTCACAGGTAGAAGGGCACACTGGGAGGTTGTGGAATGTAGAGAAGAAGGTTGATCCTCCAGAGTATGTTGGGGTCTTTTTCTTATTGAGGGCTTTTTGCAGATCAAAGCCAGCACTTCAGGTTGCCTCCTTTAGATTTCTCCAGCATTTCACACTTACCTTGTACCTGTTCATTCCAGAATATCTCTAAGCACAAATATCAGAGCCGTGAAACCTTTCTGGATGATGTGAACCTGATCCTTACCAACAGTATCAAATACAATGGTGAGAAATGTTACTTGCTCTGTGCAGTGCAGGCTGCCATTTTGACTTGAAGAAATGCCAGGATCTGAGCCTGGCTCTTGTCAGTTAATCCTGTGGCACCTGTTAGTCCTAGTCTTGAATAAAGTATCTTGTCCTAAAATATAGTCACTGAGGGAAGCTGTCTCTTACTGTCTTGGCATCTTTGTCATACTGTTCTAGCTTGATTGCTCAGCCCTTAAACAGAGATGAGGATTGACTTTGGTTAAATTGCAAGGATTGTTAGAGCGAACTGGGATGTGGAGGCAGAACTGGTGGGGCTCAGAATTGAAGGTTCTTGCTAGTATATGTTTCCAGACCCTGTGAAGAAGCTTCTCAGGAAAGGAAGTCAGGCTTTTCCTCGGGTTGGAAGGCACATAGTATAGCTAGCATGTACCTTTAAAAACACTTCTTATTTTTTTTAATAATAATATCCAGGCTGATTAAGGGTTCTAGTAAATGCACAAGCTTTCACACTGTTACGTGTCATTTGATTGGTCATAACAGGCATTATGGAGGTTGTGTTCTGGTACATGGTACAGCAGCCTTGTTAACGCTAAGCATGTCTGGGTTTGTCAGGGCCTGGGTGGGAGATACCTTGAAAATCCTTTATGTAAGCCCCCTTGATTTGCCAGTTGAAAGAAAGGTAGCCTATAAATGAATTCCAGTTTTTAAGCACTGGAAAAATCCAGCCATTGATGAGGGCTCGAGGGAGGTAGGATGCTTTGTTCAGGTCTTTAGCTGGTGCTAAATAGAGCTTTTCATTTCAGGGCCTGACAGCCAATACACAAAAACAGCTCAAGAAATAGTAAATATCTGTTACCAGACCCTGGCAGAGGTGAGTGGCCCAGTATGTACTGTGAACCTGCTCAGAGCTTTTTCCGATGGTTAGCAATCCAACCAAGTTCTTCTCTCTTGATTTCTTAGTATGATGAGCATTTGACACAGCTTGAGAGGGATATCTCTACTGCAAAGGAAGCGGCGTTGGAGGAGGCGGATCTGGAAAGCCTTGACCCCATGACACCAGGACCCTATACACCTCAGGTGAGCCTGTCCAATACCAGCCAATCCTCTTCTGCTCTTAAGGGATGGCACCTTAGGAACTGTAGAGGTGCTTTGGGGTGTAGAAACACTTTTTTTCACCAGAGAAACTAGGACTTTCCTTCCTTGTTAAATTCTGTCTGTATCTTCCACCAGTAAACCGGTTGTGTGTTTGGGAAGGAGTCCTTTCAAGAAGATGTGTTGCATGCTTCCTAAACCACTATAACAGTGCCCTGTCTGGTCTCTACAATTTCACCTCCAAACACTTTTTGTGACTTCTCGTCCGATTTGAGCATATGGTTATGTGCTGTCTTTTCCACTGGTTTAGAATTCTGCCATGTGCTTGTCTTCCATCTCCTTTTTGTGAACACTTTGTTGGTGCCTTTTTGTTCTAATTTAGGCTTTCTTGTACCAGATGAAAACTTCTGTAGAGATTTCAAGACCCTTCTAAAGAGTATTGACTCCTTCCATTTGAGTGGAAGGAGTCAATACTCTTTAGGAGGGTCTTGTCTGTTTTATGAGCAGAGACCTCTGCTTGAGCACAGAAAGAGAGCATTGAACACATGAAGCTGCCTTTTAGTGAATTAGATCATTGGTCCATCAAAATCAGTATTGCCTAGTTAGATTGGCAGAGGCTGTCCAAAATCTCAGGTGGAAGTCTTTTCAATCACCTAAAACCTGATCCTTTCAACTGGATATGTTGGGGATTGAACCTGAGACCTTCTGTAAGCCAAGCACATGCTCTATGACCCCTCCCCTATATTATAGAGAGGGCCCCCCCGTATCCCTGCTTCCTTATGATAAATCTTGTATGTCTTTTATAGTACAGTGAGAAAATAAGCATGGCAGCACATCCTTGTGTATGCGGCCTTACTGAGGAAGATCCCTTCCTGAGGAAACTGCATGTAGGCCGGCTAGGGATGCACCAGTTTCTACTGTTCCTTGCATAACACATTAATCACCTTACCCTCCTTTGTATCCATTAACCTTGTGTGATTTGAAATGCCTGTATATGTAATCTGTGCTCAGTGTGCTGCAGCAAACATAATATGAATGCTAGGTATGAGAGACAGGTTCAAATTCCTGCCCAGTATTACCAGGTAAGGATGAGAAGAAGAATAAAAATTAACTCAAGTGGACACAGTTGTTTCCTAATACAACTCAAAGTAGATTGAGAACAGATCACCCAGACATCAGCAATCAGACCAACAAAGGTCCCGGTCACACGGCAGAGTTGCCGCGGGAGAGGCACGGATGGTGGGCGGATTATCTGGGCGTGATCACACCCCAACATCTGGGAAGTGGAGCTCACCCGTGACTTACCGCCGACAATGCGCCTTAAAAAACTAGTACCTCCAAGGTACTAGTAAACGTTTGCCACGGGCTGCCTCCAGACGTCCGTGGTGTGATCGCGCCGGCGCCGAGGAAAGGACCTGTGGTGTGCCACCGGCGCGTCTGATCGCGTAATCGCACATCAAACTGCGCCTTGGCAATTAGCCACACACACACACCCCGCGCGATATTCGGCCTGTGTGACCGGGGCCAAATTGGAGTTTTCTTAAAACTTTCTCTTTCCTATCAGTGAAATTGTTGAGGGAGTTTACCCTGGAGGTGGATAATTCCCAAAGTATCAGGTGAAGCAACACGAAGAAGGATGAAGACACAACTTTACCATCTTAACACCTACACTTTATGACCTATGTTGGAGGAGAGTAATAATCTTTTGGACTGTCTGCTAGTGAGACCAACCTGACAGTGAAGGTGGAAAGAGAGGTTTTGTAATTCATTTCTTAATATGGGCAGGACCAGATTGTGGTGGACATGTCTTAAGAGACCTTTTGTAGTAGGAAAGAGTAAGAGTCCAGTAGCACCTTAAAGACTAACAAAATTTGTGGTAGGGTATGAGCTTTCGTGAGTCACTGCTCACTTCTTCAGATGCAGCTAGAATGTGAGTCCATCTGTCCTATATATTGGAAAGTGGAGTGATTTCAGATGTCAAATGACATTAGCAGGCAAATGACAATAGCAGGTGTGACTGGGCTAGGTGTGATATGCAGAGAGGTAATAGGTGTGGAGAAATCAGCATTGGTAGTGAGACAGGAAACCTAGGTCTTGATTCAGTCCAGGTGGCTACATTGTCTTGAGATTCGCTATTAGTTGCAATTCAGTCTCTCTAATCTGCCTTTGAAATTCCTTTGTAAGATAACTGCTACTTTTAGGTCAGCAGCTGAATGTCCTGGAGGGTGAAAATGTCCCCCACTGTTTTCTGAATGTTGTGGTTTTGTGCACACGAAAGCTGATACCTTGAATAAAAAAATTTTAGTCTTAAAGGTGCCACTGAACTCAAACTTTGTTCTGCTGCTTCAGACCAATACAGCTGCCCACCTGGATCTGGTTTCTGATGTGAGACTCATGTCCATTAATTCAGCAAGTTTGGTGTAGTGGTTAAGAGCAGTGGACTTTATTCTGGAGAATTGGGTTTGATTCCCCACTCCTCCACATGCAGCCAGCTGGGTGACCTTGGCTCAGTCACTGTTCTCTCAAAGCTCTCTCAGATCCACCTACCTCATAGGTGTCTGTTGTGGGGAGAGGAAGGGAAAGATTGTAAACCTTTCTGAGACTCTGACTGAAGGGTGGGGTACAAATCCAACTCTTCCTCTTTGTTGAAGGGACTGGCCTGTTTGTCCAGTGTAGAGGGTGGAAGGGCATCGCTGACACATTGATGGCATAAATCACATTGGAGGATGAGCAAGAGTATGAACTTGAGGTTGTATGGTTGATGTTGCTGGGTTTACTTATGATGTTGCTAGGTTCTATATGAGAGCAAAGTTGGCATCTTGGTTTGTTGCAAGCCTTGGTACCAAAGTCCATTGTACTGTTAAATAGTTTATCATTGCGAGTGAGAAGCTGTTTTAGGTTAGCAGGTTGTCTGTAAGCAAGAAGAGGTCAGCCCCCCAGTGCCTGTGTGAAGAAAGTGTCACTGTCCAGTATGGGTTGTAGATCACTAAGAATGCGCTGAACTGGCTTGAGTTGTGAGCTAGAGGCGACCACCAGTGGTGTTCTGTTGTCATTTTCTCTGGGCTTGTATTGTAGCAAGCTGTCCCTGGGTATCATTCTGGCCTTTCCAATCATTTTTCTCACCATATCAGGAGGATACTGTAGTTGCAAAAATGCCTGTTGCAGATCCTTCAAGTAAGTTTCTTGTCTGAGGGTTTGGATCAGATGTCTCTATAATGTAGGGCGCGGCTATACACAGTGGATTGTTTGATGTGGTTGGGGTGGTAGCTGGAGGCAGATATGTTTGCCAATCTGTCAGTTTCCAGACACCACAGTATGGATACATGAGGGACACATAAGTACCATATTATACTGGAGGCCTTGTCCATTATATTGCTGGTCTCAGCCACTGAGACAACAGTTTCTGTTGTGCTCTTCCAGCACTCTGAGAAGTTGGGCTTAACACTTCATAAGATGGATCTTAATGGTCAAGGCCTGATCAAAGCAGACAGACAATGGTATACTCAGTCATGTATCTCAGTGGGTTATCTTGGGCAAGTCACCGACTCTTTTGCCTATATCACAGGGTTGTTGTGAATGCAACCGTTTTAAATTGATCATAGTATAATGCTGTAGAAATAGGTAATATTAAGGCAGATTAAACAAGTGGGTCAATCTGACCATCTCTTAAGAGACTCCATACAACCTTATTAATTCCTGAGAAACTGATTGATTTTTTTAAATGTACTTTAGCCACCAGATCTGTATGACACCAATACCTCTCTCAGCATGTCCCGTGATGCCTCGGTCTATCAAGATGAGAGCAATTTGTCTGCTATGGACACTCCCACTACCACCCCTGAGAAGCGGGGAATACAGGTCAGAAAGCAAGAAGTACTAAAAACAATTGGAAAAGACTGGGGTGGGGAAAAGTAGGTTAATTTCCCCTGTCAGTGGTAGAACCTGTGCAGAAATCTTAAAACAGGAAATGTAGCATTAAAAGTTTTGCACCATCTTTTAAAATCAAGTGGGAGTTAGGGTGCTGTACTAGAATTGCTCTCAGATAAGAGTTTGCCATCAAACTATTTGATAAAATGCTAGAATCTGTGGTGTTTATGGAGGCAATGCAGCAGTGATTTCGCTACAACAAGAAGGGCTGTGTTTTCCTTTCTTTTTTATAAACAATGGAAAGAGGACAACATTTCTAAAAAGAAAAATGTTATCCTATGTATGGAGTACACGGCTGTAGTGCACTTGGGTGGTCAGGCAGCCATTTAAATGAAAATCTGTGTCTGGGCTGTACTGAAGAATTTCCCAGGCAGCCCTTGTACCCTGGTGAAACCAGCTTTTTGATTCATATCTGGGTTTTAGTGGAGCATAAAAATCTGCACAACATAAATACGGAGAATGATTAGTGATTGTGGCGGTATCCATAATGTTGCTGCCTTTGTTGTAGAGAAATGACGGAGAGACAACTCATGGAGCTAAAGAGTTGCAAATATGTAAACATGTCCTGAGTAATTATAAATTATTTTTCTAACATGTTGGGAGTACATGTGGTGTGACTGGAGGTGGCTGGAGTTACATACTCACCAAGCAAACATAGAAAGTACAGGGTTGTGTCAGTCTGTCAATTACTGGACCAGCTAGTGTTCTTTTGCAGATTTAATAGGATATCAGTATGACCCCCAATTTCCCTGAAAAGCTGGCTTTTGCCATTCCAGGGAGCTTTGTTCTTATAGAGATAGCAGTGAGGCTGGGGGAAAGGAAGTTTGTTCACAGTATCATAGTTGCCCGTTTTGTAAGCCTTATGACTTGCTTTTGTGGTAGTCTTGAATGTGTGAAACCCTCAGATTCTCATGGAGGAGTATAGAAAGGCATTTGAGTGACAGAGGAAGAACCAGCGATGTACAGTCTAGGAAACTGCAGGACGTGCCACAAATCCATTGTGGATTTCTTCATTGTGGCCCGCCTGCCTAAGAGATCCTTTGTCTCATAAGTGCTTGTATCTTCCTCAATGGTGTTGTCTCTGTGTTCCTCACTCAGATGCGGCAGGGCCGAGGTAGGCTGGGCGAGGAAGACTCTGACGTAGATATTGAAGGGTTTGATGAGGATGAGGATGGGAAACCTAAGACTCCAGCCCCAGTGAGTATATTTGATCCCATCTGTAGTCTGTTGGTTAACTTCTGCCCTCATGGTAGAAGCTGTGGCAGTGCAGGGCATTTCTGAGTGATGTCAGCAGTCTGAATGTGAACCCAAACCCATCAGTTTTTAGAAAGAGATTGACATAGCTGGTGAATGATGTCATTGGTAGAGCCCCATATTGTGCGTATGTTGGCAGCATCCGGCATCCTTTTACGACTGATCATTTTACTACGACAGGAAGTGGAAGATGGAGATGGAGACCTTGCAGATGAAGAAGAAGGTTCAGCACAGCAGCCACAAGCCAGTGTACTTTATGAAGACCTGCTCATGTCAGATGGAGAGGATGATGATGGCAGTGATGAAGAAGGCGATAACCCTTTTTCATGTAAGTAACTCTTTGACTTTTGATCGAGCAGGAAGTTAGTAGTCATTAGAACAGCTTACCAGAGAAGGTTTGAAGGGCACCTTTGCTTTCCATTTTAAGAGGGCTTGGAAATAAAAAGGGCAGTTGTGACTTGGTAGAACTATGCAGAAGGGACAAACATGGCTTTTTATTGTATTGATTTTCAGGGTGGCTTGTGTCTTTATTGTATTCTGCCTGTGTTTATTTACTTAATTTCTTGTTCGTCTTTCTCATAAAGACTCAAGGTTGATCAGAGTTATAAAAGACAATGCAAAATCTTTTACAACGGACAATGCAATAAACATGGATTATGCAAATTAAAAGACCCATGAAATAGAAACAGTATACTGTGTCACATAAAGTGGATTTTTAAATTAGAGCACGCTGAAGTAGAGACATATAGCCAGTAAATGATGCAGCATAAAGGGGGAAGGAGGGGCAAAAAAACCAGTATGTCTGAATATGGTAACAGGTCTGGATTGTCCTGTGGAAGGCAGATTTGACTGTATCTAATCCATTTAGATTCTGTACCACGTTTGCTGCCCGGAGCTCCGGGGAGAAATGGTGACTCAAAATGGACTAGAATATTAATGCCCTGATCTGAATGGCCCAGGCTAGCCTGATCTTGTTGGCCCTGGTCAGTACTTGGGTGGGAGACCACCAAGGAAGTCTAGGGCTGCCACACAGAGGCAGACAATGGCGAACTCTTGCCTTGAAAACCCTACTGAGTCGCCATAAGTTGGCTGTGACTTGATGGCCCTTTTCACCAGAATATGAATATTTCTGCTTTCTCTCATGACTGCTCAGCGTATAACTGTCTTTATCAGTTGCTGTTTTTATTGAAATAAGAATGTTTTCCTAGTACATCTTTGCGGGTCTGTGATATTTAGCAAGCTTTTAAAGAATGATAAAACTGCTGAGATGGTACAGTGGAGTTGAATGTCATAATACCTCTCTGTATTGCAAGGGGAAAGAATGTATAAGGAAGGTAGTGACTAGGTTGTTGTGTCATGATTAACCTTCAGTCTTGTGTTAAAACAGCTATTCAGCTTAGTGAAAGTGGGAGTGATTCAGATGTGGAATCCAGTGCAATGAGACCTAAGCAGCCTCATGTCCTTCAAGAGAATACGCGGATGGGCATGGATAATGAAGAGAGTATGATGTCCTATGAGGGAGCAGGAGGAGAGACTTCACATGCTATGGAGGATAGCAATGCAAGGTAACTATCTTCAAGTACACTGTTGGAGCCACAAAGGGGAGAGCATAGTTATCTTAAAGACAGGATAGTAATGCTATATTTGCTATGGAGGATAGCAATGCAAGGTAACGATCGTCAAGTACACTGTTGGAGCCACAAAGGAGAGCATAGTTATCTTAAATACAGGATAGTAATGCTATACTTGAAAGCATGTCACTGGATTTTAAGGAATATTTATTGTTTATTTATTAATCACATTTGTAGCCCGCCCTCCCCGCATGTGGGCTCAGGGCAGGTAACATCACAATTTCAATTACAATAAAACTCCATTTACAATATAACCAATACAAAATATATGTAAAATTACTAATTCAAATTAAACTAAGAAAGGCGACATAACTTTCTGTTAAGTCCCTCAGCTAATAGATGGTAGTCCTAGACAATTTCAGTTGGGCCACTTTACAGGGCCGCTGTGCAGGGGAGGCCATGTGATTGGACATCCATCGCCTCAACCAAATGCCTGGCAGAACAGCTCCATTTTGCAGGCCCTGCGGAACTGTAATAGGTCCCGCGGAGCCCTGATCTCAAATGGGAGCTTTTCCCACCAGGTAGGGGCCAGGACCAAGAAAGTTCTGGCCCTGGTCAAAGCTAAAAGGACGTCCTTTGGGCCAGGGATAACCAGTAGGTGTTGCTCAGCAGAGCCCAAGGCTCTCTGGGGGCATATGGGAAGAGGCGGTCCCTCAGATATGTTGGTCCCAGGTTGCTTAAGGCTTTAAAGGTTAAAACAATCACCTTGAAGCAGATTCGGTACTCAATAGACAACCAATGCAATTGGCGAAGTACCAGCTGAATGTGCACCCATAAAGGCATCACCGTCAGCAGGTGAGCTACTGCTTTTTGTGGCAGGAATACCATTGGTTCTATCATGTAAATGCTGTGTTGATCACATCAGTACTGATGGTGCATAAATCTTGAAATATTCTTTACATTGATCTTCTCTCCCTCCCCAGGGTAACCTTAGATTTATAAATCATCAAGTTGAAACATTAAAAAAAATCCTTAAGTAATGCCTTCGAGGGTCAGGTAGGCGCACACGTATTCTGTAATGGTAATGGTCATGATCTTTTCTTAGTTTTTGTTTAGTCATACATAGCAGTGTGGAAGATTAGGTATTGTATATGCATCTCAGGAATGGAGAATTGGTATTACTGCGTAGGATTAGACACAAGAATTGTTCAGACTGCACTAAACATTACAAGTAAAAATGTATACTAATTAAAGAGAGGATACAGCAGAGTTCTGTCTTTTGTCACTGTTCATTTTACAAGTAATAAATACACAAATGTCACAGGTCCTGCTGGATAGCCACGTCACATACAGCAGTTGTGATAGTAATAGATGTGCTGTCTGGATAAATCTTCCATTTCTCAGATACAAAATGTTACAGGATTGGGGTGGGGCTGCAGCAGCAGGAACACAGGTTTGAGGGGAGGTGAGTAGATGGGGCCCTGGAAAATGGAGACAAATGTACTTTTTGTGCTAAAAACCCATTATGCATGTTAAATGGACGTGTAGCTGTGTTTGCAGTGTCACACTCCTCATCTTTCTCTGACATTTCCCATGATGTACTGCTTTACAAATAAGGTCTCATGAGTCTTTTGTTTTCTAGTTATGGCAGTTATGAGGAACCAGATCCAAAGTCTAATACCCGTGATACCAGTTTCAGCAGCATTGGGGGTTATGAGATCTCTGAAGAGGAGGAGGAGGAGGAGGAAGAACAGCGGTGTGGTCCAAGTGTATTGAGTCAAGTGCATCTTTCAGAGGATGAGGAAGATAGTGAGGACTTCCATTCCATTGCAGGAGACAGTGATTTGGATTCAGACGAATAAGCTCATCAGTGGATCAAGTGAAGTCCGCAGCCCATTTTAGGAGTTAAATTTTCCCATTCAGGACAGCCAGTGCTGCTAAGAGACTTCTTGTTCATTTTTGTGTGCACATGTATTACAAGTGAATGTA